GTCATCTGTGCACTGGCGGCCACTCCCATGCACTACTGGAAGGGAGCCACGTTACGACCAAGGCCGGCCGATATCCCAGGCCGCTGGTGCGAAAGGTCGCCCGAGCGGTGGCTGAGCACTGGAGTGGGGCCTCTCGCAGTAAAGCTCCTACCTGGGCGGAGCTGGCGGAAGGCAACTTTCCCGAAGATGCGGGAGAAGGCGAGGAAGCCGAGTCGGAAGGGAGTGAAGAAGATGAGCCTGAGACCAGGCCTGGCCCCAAGATCTCTCGTCCTGTCCAGGAGGTCGAGCCATCCGAAGAAGAGAAGCGTTTGGCCTACAAGATACATGTGAACATGGGCCACCCCGAAAATAGGAAATTCCTCAGGGTTCTGCGCGCCGGGGGGGTCAAGAGACACGTGCTGGCCTGGATCCGGGACCATTTCAAGTGCTCCGAGTGCGCCGAGAGGGCCCGCAGTGGTGTTCACAGGCGCGTGGCTTTGCCCCGAACGTTTCGCTTCAATCACATCGTTGGCATAGACTTGTTTCATGTCGAGTTTCAAGGAACCACGCTGTCATTTATGAACGTGGTTGACCACGGCTCGAACTTGCAGGTGCGTGCCAGAGTCGCCGATACCCGAGCAGCGACGGTCTGGCGAGCCTTCGTTCATTGCTGGATTCGGCCTTTTGGAGCCCCTCACTTTCTTCTGTCTGACGGCGGATCAGAATTCGCCGCGCGTTTTGCCCGGGGGACCGAACAGTGGGGGATCCTTCGCCACGTGTGCGACGCCGACTCACCATGGCAGAATGGTCGCGTGGAACGCCATGGAGGGTGGGTGAAAGAGCGGCTGAAAGCCGAGATCGAGTCCGGGTCCAGCCTCCCAGCCACGCTGGATGAGCTCGACGAGCTGGTGTCAGAACTTGTGGCGCACAAAAATCGGTTCTGGCATCGAGGGGGATTCAGCCCCCTCCAACTCGTCTTTGGCGAGAATCCTCGCCTTCCCCACGATCTCCTGTCAGACGACAGCCGGGGTCTCCCAGGGTGGCAGGACGTTTCCAGGCCTTTCTCTGAGCAAGACGAAGCTGGCGCGGAGTTCGCCCGCTCGCAGAAGGTTCGAGACGCTGCCAGGCGCCTGGCCATTGAAGTCACGGCCCGGGACCAGATCAGCCGGGCGACCAAGGCCAGAACCCCCGTGCCCAGAGCGTTTACCCCCGGTCAGTGGGTCTTCGTGTGGAGACATATGTCCCGTATTTCCTCGCGGGCTGATGCTCTGGGCAGGCGCCGAGACGGCTGGACCGGTCCCGGGGTCGTTGTTCTGCATGAGGCTGGGACGGTTTGGGTCGCCGTCCGCGCCCGACTCTGGAAATGTTCTCCAGAGCAAGTGAGGTTGGCCAGCTCCGACGAGGAGTACGGTCTCCAGCTGGCCCAAGACCCCCGTTGGCAAGAGCTGCTGCAGCAAGCCAGGACCCGCAGGGTCTCGGCCGTCGACGTGCAGCGTGAGGGAGCCCCGCCAGACGAGGCCTGGGATCAACCCCTGGGTAGGCAGCCCGACACAGGTCCGAGGATTTCCGGGGGTCCCCTGGTTCCTGGGGACGAGGAGGCCCCGACTCCTCCAGCCCCGTCTCCTGGGACCGCGTCAGGGCCCGCGGGACCCGGGACCCTCTCTCGGCGTGCTCTTCGTGCCGAATCCGAGGCTGGCGGATCCTCGAGGGCCGGATCGGACGTGGCGCAAGCAGGCAGTGTTCGGCCCCGTCTCCCATCCATCCCCGAGAGTGGTCCCACGGTCGAGGGGGGCACTCGGCCGTCTCGAGGCAGCTCCGAGGTCGACGGGGGCGACAGGGATCCTGACCCCTCTGAGTCTCCCGACCCTTCTGCTACCCCTGCTCCTCCGCCCCCCGCTGCTGTCCCTTTTCCGTCTGCTTCCCCTGTCTCCCCCTCCGGCTCTCCCCCTCCTTCTTCCCTTCCACCGGCCGAGGAAGGCTCGTCCTCCCGAGGCCGGAGGGTCTTGCGGCAGCCGGAGGATCCCCCCTGGTGCATCCGCGCCAAGGCCGAGGCCGGCCGGGCAGCCAGCAGCCCGCCGGACGTCAAGAGGGCTCGCATCGACTCGGCGCCGCCCGAGTCGGCGGGGCCGGATCCTTCCTCCCCTTCAGTCCCAGGAAGTGTTGTTGATCCCCCCGCTCCTCCTCACCTCGCTCCTCCTCATCCTCCTCCCAGGGCCAACCCAGGTGCCGGAGAGTTGGAGGGGCGACCAGGTCTGTCGTCCAGCTTCGAGCCGTCCCGGACCGTGGCCGAAAGAGTTCAGGACATCGAGGACCGACGAGCGAGGTCACGTTCGCCATCCCGAGGCGAGCTCGGAGAGTTTTGGGTCGTCCCGGAGAGCGGGGGTGTTCGAGTCGTCCCGACGGAGCAGCCAGAGTGGACGGGAGCTGTGGAGTCTGACGGAGGCACTTTCGCCGCGAGCCGAGGGGGCGAAGTGTCCCTGAACCGTCTGTCCCCAGCCGAAAGGGCCAAGTTCGTTGCTGCCGACAACAAAGAATGGGAGGCCATGAAAGCCACGGGGGCCGTGGAAATCATACCTCCTAAGCAAGCTAGGATCATTCGCCAGCAGCACGGGGATCGTATCATCTCGAGCCGGATGGTCCGTCGGTGGAAACCCCGTGAGGGGACGTTTGCGGAACCGGACGCTAAGTCCCGTTGGTGCGTTCACGGTCATAAAGACCCTGACTCTGGAGCCCTCGAGGTCTATGCCCCAACCCCACAGACCTCCTCCATTATGATGTTCATGCAAGTAGCCATGAACCTTAGTCTGTTGTGTGACGTGGCCGATGTTAAGAATGCGTTTTGTCAATCCGATAGAATGCAGAGAGCCAAGGGAGAAATATATGTCGAACCGTGTGATGGGGTCGAGCTGGAGAGAGGTTCCCTAATTGGGCTGCTTGTCAACGTCTATGGTTTAGACGACGCCCCCATGGCCTGGAGACGGACCGTGGTTAGGTACCTTGAGTCCCACGGCTTCGTTCGCTCCCTCCTCGAGCCGTGCTGGTGGACGCGCTACGACTCCCGGGGCCGGTTGCTCAATGCGATGTTGCTAGAGGTTGACGATTTTCTCATCGGGAGCTCCAGTCCTGAGTCCAGGCAGTGGCTTCGAGGGGTCCTGGAGGCCAGGTTCAAGTTTGGCAAGTACCGGGACCTCCAGGCCGGCGCTGTCGATTTCGCTGGAAGGCGTATCACGGTCTCCCAGGACCGGGCTGTAATCGACCAGGAGATACATCTTGGAGGAAGTCCGAGCACTGCCGATGGCAAAGGGGCGTCTCTCACGGAAAGACACTCCTTTAGAACCTCATGAGTTTCGAGCCCTTCGATCTTTAGTATACAAGTTCAACTGGGTAGGCCGCGAGGCCCGCCCAGAAGCCGCGGGAGTGGCAAGTATTCTTGCGAGCAAGCTGAAGCAGGCTACCACTGGAGATGTTATTATAGCCAACAAGTTGGCCCGTCACCTTCGAGCATCGGCCTCTCGAGGCCTGACTATTTGGAAGCTGAACCCGGACCGAATGTCCTTCATCTCCTTCTCCGACGCTGGTGGCATCGGGTCTACCGAGGGGTTGTTAGACGATCGGGGCCTTCCTGTTGATCCGACTCAAGGGGCCTGGATGGTCCTAGCAGCCGACTGTTCAGTACTTGAGAACAAAGCTGTGAAGGCTTCAATTCTGGGCTGGCGTTCTTCCAAGCTCAGGCGCAAAGTTCCTTCCACTTTAGCGGGAGAGACCCAGGCCCTCTCAGCGGCTGTAGCGGAAGTGGAATTTCTGCAAATATTATATCGCGACGTTATGTTTCACGACGTCGACACCCCAGATTGTTATCGAGCTTCAGGGCCATTCACTACTGTCCTGAGGAGGGATTGCTCACTCGGCTCCCGCGAGAGACAGGTACATGTTGTGGACGCCAAATCCATCTACGACACTATGCAGAAGGAGGGGGTGGCCTGTGCCCGAGATCGTCGCACTGCGATCGATTTGGCGATTATATGTGAGTCTCTCGAGCGGGCTCGTGGGCACGTGAGATGGATACCTCACGGCCGTATGCCAGTGGACGCCTTGACTAAAGAAGATGTTACGAAATGTAACGCGGCGTTGTTTGATCTCATGTCTCACGGACGTTTAATCCTAGTTGACGAGAATGCCGAGGTTGCACGACGTCGAGAGACCCCAAGTCTCAAGAGCAGAAGTCAGACCGCCTCCCGGGACGAGCTCTCCCGGAACAACTTCCTGGCCTGGTTCGAGTTTCGGGATCCTGGTGGTGGTGGTGGTGGTGGTGGTCCTCCTCCTCTCTCTCCTTCTCTCCCCATCCCACATTCTTCCCCGTCGTTTTCGCATTTCCAGTAATGTACAGTAATCAATCTTTCTTCTCGTTTCTCCGTGACCGGAGTGAGGAGCCAGCTCTGCCGACAGGGCAGGGCAGTCTCCCCAGGTTTTGCCATTCAAGGGTGCTAAACCTAGGAGAAGTTGGACGAGTGTAACCGACTTCCAGATTTTGATCGATAGGTTTAGCGTTTGTAGTTCATTCTTGCAGACCTGTAAGACAGGTCACTTCAGTTTCGTGTGACTGTTACCGTTTTGGCTCAAGGCCTAAAACATTCATCCAATCCTCGCTGCCACAGGATGGCGCCGTCCCTCCGCGGTCGAATCCGCGATCCTCGCAGCGAGGTGGCCGACCGCGAGCAGAGGGCGGAGCACCGCGGCGTCGCGGCCAGTAGCCTCGGAGCCTTCACCGCCGCCCGTGCGGAGCCTCCTGCCTCTCCTCGCCCCCCCTCGCAATCTACAGTGGGGGCCCATGCCAAGAAACGCCCTACTCGCCTCCAGGGTGCCCTGGGTTTCTTGGGTTCCGATGGTTCTGCGTTTGCAAGCGTGGCGTTCCCACGCCAAAAAGGAACGAGTTTCCTTGGGTCTCAGGTTTGGGTTTCCTGTGGAAGGTTTCTTGTGGACTGGCCTCCACTGTAGCTGCCGCCGCGGGGCGGCGCTTGCAGGCCATGCCAGCTGTCACCCCGATGATGCAGGTCCCGCTGGTCAGCCCGATGATGCAGATGCAGATGCAGATGCAGGAGCCCCTTTGCATCCTTTGGCTCCGCAGTCGTCGTCCTCCTCCTCCTACTCCTCCGTCCCATCGCCTTATTGATAACTCCTCCCCTCCGCACCCCCAGACGTGTCAGTAGGGCTGGCTGGCCGTTTTGCCTGATACTACCACCATTTATGACCTTTTATGTTGCTGACGCTTGCAGTTCACATCAGTTCTTCGGACGGAGCGGGGTCGATTCAAATGGAGCTCTCGCCTCAGCGCCTCGCACATTGCACAAGCAGTGCTTAAACTGAGGGATTCTTCTTACTCGGTCCAGAGGGAATTGGGCCCGGGTGTCGGTCTGGCCGGCCTGGTGTCGCCGTCGCCGCCCTTCGCCGCCTCCCGTCGCCGCTGCTTGTGGGCCTGGGTGTCGGTCGCCGCGCTTGTTGTCGCCGTCGCCGCCCGTCGCCGCCGCCCCGTTGCACTTCCCCCCTTCTGCGTCGCAATCGATTGCAATCTGTTCTCTTCTCTTAAACGAAAATAGGTTCGACCCCTCCCGGGGTTATCGCTCCCCCCTTTTGGTATGGCAATTCACATGCGATTCTTCCCCATCGTCCATCCTAAAGATGACTTCGGGCAATCCCAGCCCAAACGGGATCGCCCCCCCCGCCATCCTCTGGGAAAAGCTACTGTGCGCGCGCACTCGTTTGTCAACAACCATCAGTTTTCAAAACTCCCTTGCAAAAGATGGGACGAAGTGCGCACGCGCGCGTTGTCGCGCGCATGCCGAAATCCGGCAAAAAACCTAAGGATTTCAAAAGCGAGTGTCAAACAAACACCAAACCATAGAGTTTCGCATCACGGCTTTCAAACAACAAACCTATGCGCGCGATCTTCCAGATTATAATGACTATTTTGTAGGAACACATTGGACATTCATGTTTTAAAGAACATGCTACCAAACGGACTTCGCGCGCGCATGTGGCAATCGTTTGAACGCCCTTGTGCGCGCGCCGTCGCGAGGATCCTTTGCAACAAATGCGACGATGGGCCCGCGCGCGCGTTGTCGCGCGCATGCCGACATCCGTCAGAAACTCGGTTTCGAGGCGAATTCAAAACCGAGTGCCCAATGCACGTGTTAGAACACATGGTTTCGCAACATCAGTTTTCCAAAAAGCGTGCGCTCGCGCTCTGGCGACTCCTGAAGAAAGCCATGCGTGTGTTCAATTTTCGTGGAATTCTGCCAAACAGGCTTCTGGCGCCGCATGCCGATATTCGCGCGCCCCTGCGCGCGTGCTGGGGGGAAGGCGCGATCCGTGTCAGATAAAACCATGCGGGCCACTCTCGCGCGTCAGCCGCGCGCGCATGTACATTTGGTGCTCTCGCCTTAGCGCATCGCGCTGTCGTCTTAAGAACATTGCCACATGTACAACGGTGGAGGACGCTTTCTCTTCAACATGGGACCATCGTTTAAGATGTTCTTCTTTGTTGCCTGAATATCCAACACATGTAGCACCGGCACTGATGAAGAACGATTATTTTTCACAATTCGGTTGTCGCTTCAGTTGCCCCGAAGTTCTTCACCCGAAGTGCCATTCAGAGCAACAGTTGCACGGATGTGGTTCTTCTCAATCGTTGGATCTCGGTGGGCAGTTCGTTGAATTGTATTATGACAATGTTTTTTTGGCATTTCTGAATAGGCGCTAGGAAATATGAAAGAGGTGTCCTCCCTGCATCTCCACCATCGAACTCTCGCATGAAACACGGGCCCATCGGGTGCTGGTCTTTCAAGGGATCGTCGTTTTGTAGTGGAACGGCGGGCTTCTACGGACCAGTGAGGAGGGGACTCGGCACGGGACGGCGCACTGCAGCATCGTTGATGCATCGGCGGTGGTCTTCCTTCCCTGTCTTAGAGCCTCCAGCGAACGTTGTTTTGGGTGCCCGAGCATCGACAATGCGCGCGCGCTGGTCATCTAGCAAGCAAGGGGAGGGCGACAGGCAACCACTCAAGTAAGGCAGCCGCGAGGAGCGCGGGGCGGCGACGACGACGACGGCGGCGGCGACGACGACGACGACAAGGCCTCTGCACATCTTCTGCTCTGGGAGTGCCTTGGAGGCCTCTTGGGGCCCTCTCGAGGCCCTCTTGGGGCCCTCTTGGGCCCTCTTTTGGGACCTCTCTTGGGAGCCCCGTCGGGGCTCGCTGGAGGCCCTCCTGGGGCCCTCCTGCAGGCCTTGGGGGTCCCCTTGGGGCTGCCTTCGTCGGTCAAAGGAGAGGGGCTGCTCAAAAGTACGCCCCCTCCCCACCTGTGCCCGAAGTTTTGCCTCTTGGGGCCCTCTCGGGGCCCTCTTTGACGCACTCTTGGGGCGCTTTCTGGGTGCTCTCGGCATCGTCTTGGGGGCGACCCTGGACCCCTTTGAGGGCCCTCTTGGGCCAGATTGGAGCCATCGTGATGCCTCAAGAGCCCATCGGAAGCGAAAAGGTGAGAAGGCAAACAACATTGAACACCACATGGGTTTTGAATGATTTTAGCCTCTTGGATGCCTTTTTGGGAGGCTCGGAGGGCACCAGGGCCCGTCTTGAGACGATCTTGAGGACTCTTAGAACTCTAATCACTAGAGGGTGTCTTGCACCATCTTTTGATATATTGAGTGATCTTGGAGACCCTCTCGGGCCCCCTTGGAGACACCTGGGGCGAACAGTGACCCTCTGACATCTCGCGGGGCGGAGGTTCCAGATCCAGTGGAAGGGAGTGAATAAAGAAGAAGGGGATTCGTAGAACGAGCTACTTCGACCACTACACGCCCCAAAGGGCTCATAGGAAGACTGTTGCAATATGCTTCGGCAGCTGAAGCGACCGAAATGCGTGATGGAAGACCGGGTCCTGTCCTGCATCGATAGGGCTGGCGCGCAGAAGCCACCACATGATCTGACAGCCACATCTCCTTGGAATGCCAGCATGCGGATGACTTCGGACATGCAGGTTCCCATCGCCGCCTCCCCTCCGAAGGAGACAAGACGCCACAAACGCAATGTGCTGGTGCTCCTCGCCGATTTCTTGGATCCGCGCTGGGCCCCTGCGGCGCCTCCAGCGCCGCCCCTAGCGCGCTCCGCGCGCCAGGGAGGGGGGTCCAGCGCAGATCCAAGGAATCCGCGCAGAGCGCTGACAGTTCATGCTCATGCCGTGTTTTGTTCTTCCAAGGTGGCGAGGGGGGCACGGGCGCTCCCTTCTCCCCTCCTCTGTCCTCTCTCCACCCTCCTCGCTCGCTCGCTCCCTCCGTCCCTCCCTCCCTCCCAGACGTGCTTGCAACGCGAACAAATGGCGATGGAAGGTTGTTGTGACTCGTCGGCCTCGGGGGGCTCCCGCTGGGCCCCAGGACCCTCACGGAACGGTTAGGGACGAATGACCAGCTCAGCTCTAAAGGGAGGGTTGAGATTTCCGGGGGGCCCCGAACGGAACAAATTGTGACACTGGATGTCGGATGTCTTGGCTCCCCCCCTCCTCCTTTTCCTCCTCCTCCTCCTCCTCCTTCCTTCCTCCTCCCTCCCTCCCTCCTCCCTCCTCCCTCCTCCCCCCGTCGCGGCGGCAGATGCAGATGCAGATGGCCCAGATGGCGCAGATGCAGATGGCGCAGCAGATGGTACAGATGGCGCAGATGCCCATGGCGCGCCCCCTGCACCGCCCTGGGGCAGAGGTGGGAGCGGATGACCTGGAGGAGGGGGAGAGGAGGAGGAAGACAGGGAGCAGAAGGAAAGGGAGGATGCAAACGGGGAGAGCGGGAGAGGAACGGGGAAGGGGCGAGCGGGTGGTGCAGGGTGGGAGGCAGGGGAAGCGGGAAAGGGAGCATGGATATTCAAGGGCGCACAGGGCCCCCCACAGCCGTTCAACCAACCCAGAGCCACTCTGCAATGCCGACAATGATTGCTTGCGGGCATGGGTATGGATTTGTTCGGCGCTCGTGATGGGGACTCCTGTGACAAATCTACTGGGACTCGGGAGTGTACCACTTTTCAGGAGCCAATGACAGACATTGGGTATTTGAATTTCTTCGTGATGTATGCCGTACCGTCCGTGCCTCTGAATTCTCACGTCTCATTTGGCCGTATATTGGAATGACGACCGTGCAGGAAGGCCTGAAGGGCGGTGCCGCCGGCCCTGAAGGGGGACGACAGCGGCGTCGGCGGCGACGACGACGCTGACGTGGGGCAGAGTCCTCGGGTGCGTCGTGGGGCCTCTTCGGAGCGCGCTCGCGTAGGCCTCTTGGTGGCAGTGTGGGGGCCTCTTGGGAGCATGTTGGGGGCCCCGTGGGAACCTCTCGGGGATCCCTTCGGGCTTCTTGGGGGGCCTCTCAGGGGCCTCTTGGGCCTCGTGGGGGCCTCGTGGGGGCCTCGTGGGGCCTCCTGTCAGCTTCTCGGACCCGAGGGCTCGAACTGTTCGTTGGGGCTCCCGTGTGGGCACCCTCTTGGAGCCGTTTTGTGGGCCTCTTGTGCCGTCTGGGCGGCCTTTAGGGCCGTCTTGGGGCCTTTTGGGGTAGTTTTGGGGCAGTCTTGTAAACCTCTTGGGGGCCTCTTGTGTCGGTCTTGCTAGCATCTTGGGCCGTCTTGGGGTGTCGGGACGCCGAAAAGGCGAGAACGCCAGACTCTTGCAAACACATAGCGAACATCATGACATTCTGCCTGCTGGGACCCTCTTTGTGTGCTCTTTGAGGCCTCTTCGCAGGTCTTTGCAGCCGCTTGGGCTGTCAGGAGGCCATGTCTGGCGTCTCGGACCGATTGTCCGGTGATTCGGGGCCCTCTTGGACTGTCTTGGGGCTTCGTGGGTTGTCTTGGGGCTTTTTGGGCCCCAGGACCCCCTGGGGAAAGATCGTATTCTGACCGGGGAAGGACCCTGGGACCCCCTGAGGACCCCCCCCGAGAAGGGATCAAAGGGAAGGGGCTTCCTTTGGACTCAGCTACGACGTTACTCAATTCCACTTTGGTTTCGCTTTGGCTGGCTCGTTTGAGGAGGAGGGCCCAGCGAAAGGAGGGGAGCGGCGACGGGCCCAGGGAAAGGGGGGTCAATCGCGATGGCGACGACGGCGACACCGACATCAAGGACGATGACGACGACGACGACGACGACGACGACGACGACGACGACGACGACGACGACGACGACGACGACGACGACGACGACGACGACGACGACGACGGACGACGACGACGACGACGACGACGACGACGACGACGACGACGACGACGACGACGACGACGACGACGACGACGACGACGACGACGACGACGACGACGACGACGACGACGACGACGACGACGACGACGACGACGACGACGACGACGACGACGACGACGACGACGACGACGACGACGACGACGACGCGACGGCGACGACGACGTCGACGGCGACGACGACGACGACGACGACTGCGACGACGACGACGACGCCGAGTCAAACAGAACAGCGTCTTCCACACCCCAGCAGCGTCGGCGGATGACGGGAAGCGCCTCCGGCGTGTACCGTTGGTTCTGGGGAATGACGGGAAGCGCGAACGAGGAACGAGGAGCGTGGACCGTTTTTCTTAAGGAAAAACCTTTATATGGGGCTCCGGATTGCATCCTGGCCGGGCGTTGGCGGATGACGGGAAGCGTCTTCGAGGTACGAGAAGCAAGCGGGACGTTCTGGCTGAATCTTTGAGTAAATATATATATATATATATATCTTTATATCTATGGGTTGCCGCGCTGCACGGGATTTTTCGTTGGCGGATGACGGGAAGCGTCTTCGAGGTACGAGAAGCAAGCGGGACGTTCTGGCTGAATCCTTGAGTATATATATATATATATCTTTATATCTATGGGTTGCCGCGCCGCACGGGATGACGGGAAGCGTCTTCGAGGTACGAGAAGCAAGCGGGACGTTCTGGCTGAATCCTTGAGTAAATATATATATATATATCTTTATATCTATGGGTTGCCGCGCTGCACGGGGTTTCGTTGGCGGATGACGGGAAGCGTCTTCGAGGTACGAGAAGCAAGCGGGACGTTCTGGCTGAATCCTTGAGTAAATATATATATATATATATATATATATATATCTTTATATCTATGGGTTGCGGGGCTGCACGGGAGCATTCATTGGCGGATTCCCCAAAATGGCCATTTCGCTCGAGACATCCTCGAAAAATCGAGGTGTTGGAAGCTATCGTTTAAGACGTCTTATGTTAAAAATGACGGTTTCGCTCGAGACATCCTCAAAAAATCGGGATATTGAAAAATATCAAAAAATTTTGTTGTGCATGAAAAATGAGCGTTTCGCTCGAGACATCCTCGAAAAAATGAGATGCCGACAGAGGTGTTTTAGAACCTCTTATGTTAAAAATGACGTTTTCGCTCGGGACGTCCTCAGAAAATGAGCAGGTGGTCTGCCGTGCTCCCGTGTGGAGCACGGCAGACCACGGCCATTTCGCTCGAGACATCCTCAAAAAATCGAGGTGTGGTCTGCCGTGCTCCTGTGTGGTCTGCCGTGCTCCTGTGGTCTGCCGTGCTCCCCACAGGAGCACGGCAGACCGCGCGTAGGAACCGAGAGGAGCACGGCAGACGAAGACGAGGAGCACGGCAGACCAGGCACCAAGAGCGCCCTCAAGACGACGGAAAGGATGACCAAGACGAGGAGCACGGCAGACCAAGACGAGGAGCACGGCAGACTATGCCCTAAGAGTGCCCTCAAGACGGCCGAACAACGGCAGACCCCATAGGAGCACGGCAGACCACAGAAGAGCACGGCAGACCAACAGGAGCACGGCAGACCACACAAGAGCACGGTCCGTAGCCATTTTGGCTCAAGGCCATGGCGCACCCGACGACCGCGAGTCCGTCGGGCGTTCTGGAGCGCGAGGGGCGCTCTGCCACGAGCCAGAAGCTTCGCCAATTTTGTTCTTCTTCGTTCCTGCAGGGCCGAGTGTTTCGGCCGAGCTGCCAGTCCCTCGGCGAGCAGCCATGTCGGAGGTTGCCTCGGGGCTGGCTAGGCGGGCGTACTGGTTGTGTGCTAAGCGTGGCTGTAACGCTTGGAATTGGTGTGACAAGCGGTGGACGTGCAAGGCGTGCGGCACCAGTGCTCCCCCATGGACGAAGGAGTACCGCTCCGACAAAGTCCCCCCGCGGGTGGACGCCGACGGGTTCGTGCAGCAGCCCAGGGGAAGAGCTGAGCAGCGCGCGGCGAGGCGCTCGGCCTCCCAGCGGGCCCTCTCAGGGAGCACTGCGCCCAGCAGCGCCCCCAACAGCAGGGCACGGCGAGCGCGGCCCTGGGGAGAGGCCAAGACCCAGTTCGAGGAGCTGCAAGCGCAGCTGGCGGCGGCCAAGGAGAGAGTTGACAGGCTCCAGGGGGCCGCGGCGCTCGGGCTCTCAGAGGACTTCCAGCGTGAGGCGGAGAAGGCCCTCCAGCAGGGCAAGGACCAGGTCACCGCCCTGGAGCTGGCCGTCCAGGAAGCCCAGAGGACGGAGCGACCGCCCCACTCGGTTCTCCACATCGAGGCCAACGCCATTCAGAAGGTCGAGCGCCAGTTGGCCACGGCACGTTCCAAGAGGGAGAAGCTCCAGCTGCAGGCGTCCGAGCTGCGCGAGCTCATCGCGGAAAAGCAGGAGCAGCTATCGGCAGCCGAGTTGGGAGTTGATGAAGTCACTGGGCAGATTGCTGAGCTGGAAGAGACCAGGGCCAAGGTCACGCAGCAGGCGATCCAGAGGGCCAGCGCAGCCGTCGGAGGAGTGCCGAGCCCGCTTGGGGACGCCGTTCAGGGGTTGCTCACTCAAGTCGGCGCCCTGTCGGATCTCCTCAAGCAGCACGGAGCCGAGCTGCCTCCCAGGTTCTCGGAGATCGTCGAGATTCTCAACACGCAGAAGGAAGCGGTCGCTGATGTGCTCAGGCCCCGTAGCAGCTCGGCCAGGAAGCGCTGGGGCGACAGCGTCGGTGACGACGGCCTCGCGACTGAGGATGACGACATGCCGCTCGACATCGTTGCCTCAGGTGGGGCTGCGGCCGCCCCTCCCGCTGGCGCCCCGCAGGCAGGGCCGACCGCGGCTGGGCCTCCAGCCCCGCGGGCCAGGCCAGCGGACGGTCCCTACGGCCCCGCAGCGGCCCGCGGCCAGCACGGGGCGACCCTGGGTGCGTGGCCTCAGGTGGAGCCCTGCCTGGCAAAGGCCCTCGCTGAGCAAGGGGCGGCCCTCTCGGACGGCGACCCCTTGGTGGCTGCGGCTGCTGTCGTTGCTCCTGCTGCTGGGTACGGGCCGCGCCGTGGGTGATGCAGGAGCGTTGGAGTGGCAAGCCGCAACAGTGCGCGGGCCCAGCTGCTGGGACAGGTGGAGGAGGCGCTGTGACGGCCGCTGGCGCGTCCGCGCCCCTCGCAGGCGGCGGGCGGCGCCGAGCGCCTTTGCCCGAGGTAGCCAGCTGGCGCGGTCGGGAACACCGAGGTGGCCCCCCGACGGCCAGTCAGGGGCCGAGAGCGGTGGGATTCAGCCCCACGACGTCGCAGCTCTCGGCCCCGATGGTGATGGGCAGGCGCACCCCCCGCTGGCAACCGGAGGGGCGGAGGGACGGCCACCTCCTCAGCGACGGCCACCTCCCGTGCTGGCGAGCGGCCCGCCGACGCCGATGAGGAGCGCTGGAGCGAGGGGC